CGTCACCTCAAGTCAAAGATACTACTGCATGGACTTTGGGACGGGTCTCGTATCTTTTGATAGAATGTATTAAACCCAATGTTCATGAATGTTGATAAGACCGATTTATTGGCTAGCCCGCTTGACCATCTATATATATAAATATATATAAAGAAAAATCCAATCCATCATTTTCTATTCACAGAAAAAGATGCATCCTAATTATTTTTCCAACCGTACCTCTTTAGCCCATCTAGTAACCTCTCTTATTCCTGGCATGCTTCGATTTGTCCTGCCTTCTTTTAAGGCGGCTGCAACCCAGTCTTGATGGAAGGCCGTCTTAATTTGTCCGTCGTGAAATGCTTCAGCCAGATCACTAACGCATCAAATAGTAATATATGATTAACTTTTGCCTTCAAAATGGTCTATCCGTCATTTAGAAATCGAGACTCACCCTAATAAGCCAATTATTCCACGAATGAGCGTGTCACCTCTTTCAGGATCATTATAAGTGTTAGATAAGAATTGGAAAATTTGGTTCACATATGGAGCGAGCGAGTCCGCTACAGAAGAGAAACCCGCAAAATAAATTATTATATAAATAATCACTGCGTACGAAGCAATAAACCGATAAATAAACCAACCCTTTTCACCCGTCTTCAAGCCTTGAACAATACCAACATATGCCTCAAGAATACCTTCACGAAGGTTATTTACATATTCTATCATATCATAGTTATTCTTATAAAAAAATAAACAATTAAAATAAAAAAAAAGTGAATAAACTTATAATTCATCTTCCATAATCAATTAGCCGAATACACTTACTTCCGTTGCACGCATGTTACTCGCTTGTAAAAGAACCATCATAACCACTTCCAGATATACATCAAATCGACCACTTATTGCAAGTGCAATATCTCCGAAACAAGAAAGAATTGCTGGTTTCACATCTCGATGAAGTACCGGACTCTAATAATATAATCATGAGCGTTATTCTTTGGATTACGCTAGAATAATAAATCTAGAGAGGAAATGGTGGTACAAACTTGTAGATTTTGCAAGAGAGCATTCATAAAGGTATCACAGTAAGGCAATGACTGCTCTTGAAGTGCACGACAAATATCACCGATAAGTCCTACAGCAATATTACAGAGTTGATGTTCCTCGTGATTTGAAAACGCATGGTAAAGATATGGCGCAAAGGCATCCAGATAACGTGTAAAATCAGCTTCAAGCGCTAAAAAAATTATCAAAATCAAGGTGAACAAATATTAGAATAAAATGACGTTTTGGTCAAAATTTTTTAATTATTTACCGGTTGTCATCGCTCCTACTGCCAAAAAACCGTCTTCTAGTGTAGTAGAGGCTTTGTGTTGTGTATCAAACATAGTAATCAATGTGGTCATTATTCTATCAGCAAATGGTACAACCTCAGTTCTGAGTTTACGTATAATACTCTATAAATAATAAATTTCAAGTTAGAGAGATAGTGACGAATAGGTCAACTTTGATAAAAAATTTACTGACCGTTAAAACACTACAAAGGTTTGATTGCAACTCTGCATGAGCAGCTTTTTCATCTTGTCCTAAAATTTGATTCTATGAGGATAAAATTTTTTAGTATTTCGCTTGGTATGAAAAATTTATAAATATCATACATATTACGTACTTGCTGGGTAATTGACACTTCTAATCTTTCAATAATAGTAACAGTCAACTTTTGAATTATACCAAAGCAGTCCTAGAATATATATCAGAATAGGAATATTAGTATTCTTTCTTACAACTTAAGTCATAACGTTATATGATCATACTAAAAACGATCATTACCAAAGCTGCACCTGTGACCAGACTGGAAATACACTCGTAAGCTGATGTTCGTGCATTGGATTCGTTACCAGTTCTAAAATAATAAATATACGTAATAAATAAGTAAATAAATCACTCGATAATTTGTCATATAATACTGTACAGCAAAAGACATCCAATTTAGTTAATTATATAAAACATAACTTGAAACCAAATGATTATACAAAAAATCCTCTCACGGATTCAAAAAACTATCAACCTGTATGAGGATTTTTTTGTATAATCAATTGGATGTCTTTTGCTGTCTAGTATTGCAAAGAATTAAAAATAACCTCTCGGTGGTGGTTAAGAGTTCAGTGACAATTCCTTCAAAATAAGGTGAAAGTGGATAAGTTTGTGCTGTTCCATCCTTATTATTGCCAAACGAATCGGATAAACTCATTATTGCCTAAAAATAGATATTTTACACAATCTTTTTAGTTTTCAACAGACAAATCTGTATAATTATGATAACAAATGATGACATTTACCCAACAGCAATTCGAAACGATTCGAGGCGAATCTTTAAGTCCATAAACCAATGAGGCGATAAGATGGTGAAGATGAACATCGGGTTTAATACATTCTATCAAAAGATACGAGACCCGTCCCAAAGTCCATGCAGTAGTATCTTTGACTTGAGGTGACG